ATAATATGTATGGGATAATTTGAATTCTTTTGCATTTACTTAAAAATGTCCTATGGGCTAGTATATGGTCTATTTTGGAGTGCATCCCCTGTGAAGCAGAAAAGAATGTGTAGTTTGATGTTTGGGATGAAACACTTTGTAGCCATATATTAAGTCCATTTGTCCACAGGTTTGACTCAGTCCTGATGTTTATTAATTTTGTGTCTAATTGATCTATCTATTTGTGACAATGTTGTGGTAAGTTGCCCCATTATAATTGTGTTAGTGCTTATTTGATTTTTTCATGACCTTTAATATTTGTTTCATATAGTTGGGTGCTCCTATAATTTGGTGCATATATATTTATGATTTTAATTTCACCCTTTCAGAGTTTTCCTTTCAATAATTTTGTGGTGACTTTCTTAATCTCTTTTGATCTGCCTTGTCTTGAAGTTCACATTGTCTGCAAATACAATAGCTATCCCTGCTTTTTCTGGGTTTCTCTCATATGTAATATTGCTTTCTGTCCTTTGACTTTCTATCCATGAATTTTTTTACATAAATGAGTTTCTTGTATGCAGCATAGAGTTGGATCTTCTTTCTTGACCCATTCCACCTGCCTATTTCTTTAGATTGGTGAGTTGAGACCATTCACATTCATGGTTATAACTGATATGTATTGATTTATCCTTGATATATTATTATCTGGGATTGGTTCCTTGTCTTTCTCTTCTGTTTAACTGCTTGCCCTCCCTGGGGTCTTCTTCCTATTGATGTTGTTCAGTTTGTGCACATTGTTATATCTCTCTACAATACCTTTCAGAACACATTGTATTGCTAGGTTGGTGGTCATGGATTTCTTCAGTTGTTTTTTGTCATGGAAGTATCTGATTTCTCCATTAATTCTGAAAGACAGATTTTCAGCATATATCAATCTAGGTTGGAAGTTAATTCCTTTTTGGACTTGGAATGTTTCACTCTTAGCTCTCCTTCACTCAAGCATTTACGTTGAGTAATCTGTTGTAATTCTGATGGGATTTCCTGTATAGGTGATTTGTTTCTTTTCTTTAAAAGCTTTTAATATTCTTTTCTTGTGCTAAATTTGTGGAATTTCTTGATTATTATATGCCTTGGTGTAGATTTATTTTGGTCGTGGCTAATTTATATACCTTGCTTACAGTATGTCAGATTCTTTTTCCATACTTGGGAAGTTTTCTGCCATTGCTACTGTGAACAGTTTTTTTTTTTTATGTCATTTGTCCTGGCTCCTGCTTTTTCAGCGACTCCACCCAATCTTGTATTAATTGTTTTGCAACATCTTGCAAATCTTGGATTGTTTTTTCAGGGTCCCTTTTCATTTTTAAAAGATCTTTCTTTTCATGATTTCTAGCCACAGTCCTGGCTTCCAGGTCTGAAACCCTGTCTTCACTTTTGTTCAGGCAATTTTGCAAATGTTGAATGTAATTTTTAATTTCCTGGATATCTGTTTGAAACTTTGTGTGGATTCCCTTTCTTTACTGTGTTGCACATTAATGGTTTGCATCATTTTCCTATGCTCCTCTATTTTATTATTTATGTCTACTTTAGACTTGCTGAATAAGTCTTTAATTATCATGATCATCTCTTTTTTCAACCTTGGAGATTATTTCTAATCTGATTTTGTTTATAGTCTCATGTATTTGTTTTTCAACTTCTGCTGCTATTATTTCAGGAATTTCAGGTGGGTAGTCTCCATTTTCTTCTATCTTATTGTCCCTTGGACTTGTTCTGGTTGGGCTAGGAGTCTGTGGTTGGGTTTTGCTTCTCTGTTTTGTCATTTTCTATTTTTTAATTTAATTTAACTTTTTCTGTGTTGCTCACTGAATATTTCTTATAATAGCTACATTTATCACTAACCTTGCAGCCTCCCTAGGAAATGTGTATTGTTCAGAGGTGTCTCCTATGTGTAGGATATTCTTGTTATTTGTGTCTATACCAATATCCTAGCTTCCCCATTTATTAAGGGTGCGATGTTGCCATCTTTTTTTCTCAGTCCCCTGTCTCTTGGTACTGGACTACAATAATGTTTATGACCCCAGATAGTCACGGTACTGTTATAGAGGGAAGAACAACTGATTATTACAAATATGACATCCTGGCTAATTTATTACAAATAGCAATAACAATACCATCACACATGGCCTAGAATCTGACAAAATGTGGTAACTCTTGATTTGGTATCTTTAACCATGTGGGCAAAATCTACAGTTGCACGTCAAAACTCAACATAAATCAGGAACTTGTATGCAACGAGTTTTCCCATAGTAGTGTGAATTTACTCTGTAGTGGGGAAATTTAAGAGGTATAGGGGGCAAAACAGAGAAAGAGGGGAAGAGAAATACTGTTGAAGCAAGGCTGGAGGACAAAAGATGATCATGCAATCTTGGAGAAGAGGGCAGAAGAGAAAGAATGGAGAAAGCAAAAGATTATTGAAGTGAATCACAAATATTGGGGACAATTTTCACTCACATGAACATATCATAAGATCAAGACAGATAGTTGAGAAGAGAGAGAAAGAAGATGAATAGAGTAGAATAAAAATATATGTATGAACCTAAAAGAGAAAGAAAGATCAAATAAAAACAAACAACAACTATAAAAAATGCAACCAGTCAATAAAAGAGAAACAATACACACAAAGAATACAGTAATAAAATTTTTCTGGTCTCCACTCTTTTGTGCCAGTGTCCAATACAACATTTTACCAATTGTGCAATAGCATTAGTGCTGGCATGGACGTGGGGCTGTTTGTCTCTGCATTGCTCTCCTGATTGTGTGGTGCCCTCAAACAGAGACAACTCCAGGCTGCTCCCTGTTCAGTGAACAGTAGCTCACCCCAGAACTTGTACAGCCTGCTCTATTCCACACCACTGGCGCCTCGCATCCTCTGCCCTCTTTGTCCTGCACTGGTGGTTGCAGGTTTGACCTGAGCTAGTTGTTGCAAGTCAGAGGGAGTGACAATTTCGTTGCCCAAGGATGCTTTCACAGTTTGTCACAGGGCAAGGGAGTGCTTATTTCCCATTGCTTGTCCTTGCACTGCAGATAACAGGTCAGAGGGAGTTGCTGACTTCCCAGGGCAAGGGTGCTGGTGTTGCTGGCTGCTGATTGCAGCACAGGAAGGTACTTGTCCAGACTGCCGCGGGATAGTATAAATCCCTCTTACACCACTCATAGGGCAGCAGGAGTGTATTGTTTCACTAGTAATCCCCATGCCATGGCCAGTCCCTAACCTTGTCACTAGTGGTTCCAATTAGTAGTTATGGTGCTCCACAGAGAAAGAAAAAGAAAAAAAAGGAAGAAAAATACTGGTGGCCTGTTGGGGAGGGAGGGAACAGTCATTCACCCCTGTGTGTGCCAGGCTGCAGTGTCCTCTCTTTGCAGGAGCTCAGAAGAGATGAGGGGCCTTATATTCTCGGTCTATCCTGTGTGGATTGAGTTTATCATACATTTGCCTTCTCTGTAGTTTGAGGGAATTTCCTGGGAATGGTGTTTCCTGTTCCTATCCTAATCCAACTAGTGCAAAACCCACAGGCAGCCTTGTGGTCTGGTTTATCATTTTATAGTGTCCTATGTCTATGTTTTATTTGATCTACAAGTCTCTTATTTTGGATTGATTTTGATATCAGGATATATGTCCCTCCCTTTCTTCCAATTACCTTTGCTTTTAGTTGAGCTCCTGTGAGAAACTTCAAGATGAGTCCTCCTTTATTTAGTCGTGTTGAATCAACCCCAAGTTTTTTAAATTTAAAGTCTGTTTTATGTGCTGTTAACACAGTAGCTCCTGCTTGTGATTTTTTCATTTGCAAAATATATCTTTTTGTAAGCCTTGACTTTCAGTCCGTGTGTATCTTCATCAATGAGGTGAATATCTTTTAACCAACATAGTATTGAGCCATTTTTTTTATGTTTGAGGACTTTTGATTGATGAATCTAATGTAATTGCATTCAAGGTTATTGATTATGAACTTCCTCTTGTAATTTTAATTGTATTCCACCTGTTTGCATGTTTTTACTTTCTATATCTTTGTTTATTTTTGTGCTTTGCTGTCATTTGTCGTGGTAAAGTTTGGTTGTGTTTTTCTTTTGTGTTCTGTTTTTGTAAGTAGTTTGTAAAGTCCTGTACTTTTGTGATGCTAGTTATCTTTTAGTTTCTACTGTTGATCTTTCTTGGGTGTTTCCTATAGAGAAGCCTTGAAAAGTTTTTATTAAATGTTTTACAATCATATCACCAGAATATTAAGGAATTTTTAATTTCTCTTTAGAAGACACAATATTTCAGATACAGAGAAAAATACATCATGATTACATAATTTAGTGCTGATTTTCATGTATATAATCAAGTTATATTGTTTTGAGCATATTGATTTTTTATTTGAAAATTGGATCAATTGTATTTATAATAAAAATTTGCAAACTACAAAAATCCACCAATAACTTTTGTGTCAAAGAATGATTATTGTTTATATTTTATTGTGTATTCAAATGCATGTACATTTTCACACAAATGCAATTATAAGCATTACACTGTAATTTTTAAAATCATGTTCCACCATAGAAATTTCCAAAAACCAGTCTAACTTTCATTTCTGACTATTTATATTGCTTGTATCTTTGTACATAATAGATATCTAGTATAACTTTTTTACACTTTTTTTGTGGTACCAGGAATCAAACTCAGGACCTTGCAACTTGCCAGGCATGTGCTGTGCCACTGAGCTATCTCCTGGGCTTTATTGCAATTTTTTGACAGGTTGTTTTCAATAAAAATAATGATGCACCAATTTGCTTTCTGTATTAATTATTGTTAGTATTTTAAGTTGTTGTTCATATGATGAATTCCTTAAAGGAGAATAACTGGCTCAAATGAGTCTTTATAAGACTCTCGATAAATAAATAAACTTTAACATTCTAATGTCAGACTTTTGTATATTTGGAGAGATGACTAGTCTATATAAAAATTATCCTGTTTAATTTTTTCCTAGGTTTGAGGCAGCTAGAAAGGAAGCACTTGCTGTAGATCAAAGACTTGAAGAGATGCAGGAAGATGAAGCCATCCTAGAAAAGCAATGGCCATTACTTGGTGTTCCTTTGACAGTAAAAGAATCTTTCCAGCTACAAGGTATTAGTATTTGCATGCTTTTACCTATATTGGCCAAATTCACAAGTGGTACGTATTTTTTGAATTATAAAACTATAATATTATCTAAGTGCTGTCCATATTTCCTCCTCAGTTTTATTTATTTATTTATTTATTTATTTATTTATTTATTTATTTATGGTAGTAGGAATGGAACTCATGACCTCATGCTTGCCAGGCAGGTGCTGTGCCACTGAGCTATATCCCTGGCATCTCTTTAGTTTTTAAAGGAGGAGAAATATTCAGAAAATTTGATTGGGAAGAGGAAAAATAATGTTCATCTCATGCTAAACTTATATGCTGTAAGGGGCCACTTTGTTCAGTACTCACTAGTGCTGATAGCACACATTCAAGAATAGTACTGTGTCATTTTTCAAATGTAAACAGTAAGGTTCACTCATAAATGAAGGCTCAGATTCTAATGAAAACCCATGCTTTATGATGAAACACTTATTTGTAACTTCCTACTGGTCACAAATGTTATTGAAAATCCAAAATATTTGGAAATTAAATGGCAAAAATTTAAATAACACAAAGATCAAAGAAAGATATCATAGGTATACAACTCAATGGAAAGAAAACAAAATAATACAATTGAATTTATGGGCTGCAGTTAAAGTAGTGCTTAGAAGGAAATTTATACATTTTAGGGACTATTTGAGAGAAAGTAATATTTCAAATCAGTAATATACTTTCACTTTAGAAATGTAGAAACGGGAAAGCAAACTAAACTTAGAACAACAAGAAGGAAGGAAACTATGAAGAGTAGACTAAATCAATGAGATTGATAAGACTGAAATAATAGATACTACCATGAAATCCAAAAGTGGTTGAAGAGTTCAATAAATCTGATATATTTTAACTTAGTTTCTGATAAAAATGAGATAGAACACATAAATGAATAATACCAAGAACAAAATAGGTGGCATATGTACTGTTTCTAAATATATTAAAATTATAATGGAATATGATGAAAAAATGTATTCCCGTAAACTGGAAATCTTAAAAGGATCACATACAATTAAAAAAACTTATTTAAAAATAATGGATAAATATATGTAAAATTTAGCAATTAAAATAAATGGAGTTGGTATTAATGATTTTGATGCAAAGAATAGCCTAAGCCCAAATGAATTCAGTATTGCGAACTATACAAAATAATTCATTAGGAACTTAGATCATCATGTTAATTGAATTAAGCCAGATTCAGAAATACAAACATCGTATATTTTTTCTCATCTGTGGAATCTATGAAAAGGACATAAAAGTAGAAAGGAGACTATTAAAGAAGAGGAAGAGAATTAAGGGAGGTGGTAGAGGAGGATAATGAAAGGTATAAGGGGAGGTATGTCATATGCATAAATGAAAATGCCACAATAAAATACATCCTGTATAAAAAATAAATAACATAAACTGTTTAAAAAATTTTTTTAGAAAATAGAGGACGAGACATTTTCTAACACATTCTTTGAAGCCAGTATCACCTTAATACTAAGCTAAACAAAGACATCACAGTAAAAGTAATGTATAAAACAATATCATTTCTGAATTTGGATATGAAAATCCTCAATAAATTAGTAACAAAATGAAGGTAACATTAAAAATAATTGTATATTATGAATTTATCTAAATAATGTTTATTTATTTTAATAACAGCAGAAATTGAGAACTATTTGATAAGATACAAATTAGAAGCACATTAAACTTTACTTTTTAAAATAAAAGGAGTTGGAACATTACTATGGTTTTTTGGTTTTTTTTTTTTTCCTTTTTGTTTTTCTGGTACCGGGAATCAAACTCACAACCTCGCACTTGCCAGAGCAGGCACTGTGCCTCTGAGGTAAATCCCCAGCCCCAAGGAACATTACTATGAACTTATAATTTATACTCACATGGTAATTGACGGAGAGCACAGAGAAAACAAAAACAAAAATAAAAAAATAAGTGGATCACAAAGAGTAGATCACATTAAGTTTAACTCTCTTTTCTTAGCTATGTGACCTCAGAATCATTTTTAAAAGTATAAAACTCTGGTATAGAAATAATTTTAAACACACTCAGAAGTTGCAAAACTAGCATAAAGGACTCCATTATACTCCTTGTATTCATTACTTTTTCACATTTTTTGTCAATTGCTCCCTTTCCCTCTCCTCTCATTTTTCTTCTAGTTTCTTTCCATTTTCCTGCCTTTTTACTCTACCCCAGTTTGCTCTATCTTTCCATTTTTTGCTATCTTCTTTTCACCATTTTTTGAACCACTTGAGAAAAGTTTTTGCACTGTAAGTCCCTTAAAATATGAACACTTCGGTATGTTTCTGAAGAACATGGTGGAATTCTTACGTAGTTATCACTTTCAATATTCTCAACATTAGAAAGATACTATAACTTGCAGACAATATTTCAAATTCCTTAATTATTGCAATAATATGCCTCATAAATTTCAGTCTTTTGATCTATGATCCTACTCAGAATCAGACATTCAATTTATTTGGTAGATCTCTTTAATCTTTAAAACAATGTTTCTTTTTCTGACCTTCATGATACTAATATTCTTGAAGAGAAGTGGGTGGTTGACTTGGCTAGTGTTGGTAGTTTGTCGATGGCTCATTTGTCCTCATGCTTAGAGCTAGTTTATAAATATTTTTATTTTTACAAATGAGATGAATCATTCTTTTTTCAAATATAATTAAAATAGTGTACAATTTACTCAGTTAAATACATAAATTCAAAGAAGTTCAGAAAATTTACTGAGCTTTGCATCTTTCATGATAAATTAGTTTTGAATCATGTCGTTTGTTGCAATAAGATTTCTCATGTCTATTTATAGTTATTCTGTAGTCACACCCTATTTCAGGTGTTTTCAACTATCTTCTGTATCTACCTCAGAGTACAATTACTGCATTACACAGTAAATGTGTTTAACATATTGGGGAATGGGTAAATTATTTTTTTAAAGGAGCTACACTATTTTACATTGTCAGTAGCATTGTTAGCTTTCCTTTGCTCCACATTTTTACTTATATTTGATATTGTCTTTTATATTAGAGCCATCTAATGGCTGGGAAAATGTATCTCAGTTTTAATTTTTATTTAAGGAATAATTGTTTCTTTTTAAATAAAACATTCAAGAAAAAGTGGATGTTTCTTTTACCACATATTCCTAAGTACAGTATATGATCTCTGTCTTTGCTCCTTCTTTTCTAATAAGAGATATATGTACTTTCTTGCATTTAATAATCTACATTTAAGATGATACTTAATAGTTTAATGTTCTTCTGAATCCAACACAGAATAAGCACTGTTACAATATTAATTTTTTAAACCTTGTTACACTGTACATATTCTATATTTTTTCCACAAAATGTGTTTGGGATTTTCATCCTTATCTATGTATTTATCTGTAGTTTCTTTATTTTCATCTTTAAAAGTCATATCATCCTATTAATCAATTAACCTTTATTTTTCCTTTCTTCTTTTCATATAGTATCCATTTTTCTCATTCTAGATATTGTTTACATTTAGAAAGTTTCCCTAGGTATATACATAACCATAGTCTTACTAGTTTTTATGATAAAATGTATGGTGTACTTTAGAAAATGTTGAGATGGGGCATACCATATTATCTTATCCACTTACATTCTCTTATAACTCATGTATCTATGTTTTTGCCAATATTTGATGTTGGTAAAATTTGAGTTTTTGTCAGTGCAATAGGTAAAAAATAGGGCATTATGATTATATTAATTTTGGATTTCTTTCATTGTATTTGAGATTACACATCCTTAGTTTTTCATTTCTTGGCCTTTCAGGATTCTCTGTAGAAATTCAGTTATTTTCACCTGATTTAGTTTTCCAGTTTTTATTTTTTATAAGTACACACTTACAGTACATAATGATTACATTCCCGATCAAGAGTTGTTGCATGTATATGTCTCAGTCCTTTTGCATCCCCTTTCTTTTCCTTCCCTCCCCAATTCCTCCATCTCTTGGTGTCCTTAGCATATGCAAAAGATCTATCACTCTATTTTCTCCCTTTTACTTTGCTGTTTGTTTTTTGGATTTCTCATATAAGAGAAGCCTTGCATTATTTAATATTTTATGTCTGATTGAATTCACTTAACATTATGGTATCAAGGCTGCCATCAAGATATCAACCAATAACAAATGCTGGAGAGAATATGAGGAAAAGAAATCCTTCTTCATGGTTGGTGGGAGTGGAACCACTGAGGAAATCATTGTGGAGATTACTAAAAAACCTAGGATTACAGGTCCCATTTGACCCAAATATTTCCTTTCTGAGTATTTTCCCAGAATAATTTAAAATATCATAACACAGTGATATATGTGCACCCATGCTTACAGCAGCATAATTTATAATAGCTAATAAATCTTGGAAATGACCCCAAATCCATCAACTGATGGACGGATAAAAAAGATGTATTTTTATACAAAGGAGTACTACTCAGCTATATAGAAGGATAAACATGAGACTTTTATAGGTAAATGGACACAACTTGAGACCATACCCATAAGTGAAATAAATCACACTCACATGTGCAAACATGGTATTTTCTCCCTGGTGTAAGAAGCTGAAAGAGTAAATAAGATGCAAAATGTAAAATAGATATTGAGAAATGGGAGAAACTGTTCAAAAGGAAAGAGGAACTGGGATGGGAGAAAGGAGAAAGGAAGGAAGGGAAAAGGACAAGTAAATAACAAATAATAAAAAATATATAAACAGAAGATAGATGTTCATCCTCTATGGGAGAGTAGTTCTTGGTGTGTCTGTTTTTTAATTGTTGATCTTTAGAAGTTAATATATATTATATTATTTTATGTGTGGTGCAAATTACTTTTCAAGTGTTGTTTGTTGATTCAGCTTATATCATTATGCTTGAATAAAAACATTTAGTATTTGAATGAATAAATCTTATATTTTGTAAGATTACCGTTTTGTATATTGTTCACAAAATATCTCCGAATATTAAGATTAGGAAAATATTTGCCTATATTTTCTTTGAATATTTAAAAATTCATTTTATAAAGTTAAATGGCCTTTCCATATTCTATTTTCTTTATTTTATTATGTAGGAACATTTATACAATAAGTGAGCTTTCTTCCTATGATTACTAGATCATGATTTACTTACTAATCTAAATGACAATTCCATTTTGTACAAAGTTTCCTGTATACTGGGTTCTTTCTTGTCACTTGTGTTTATTCGTGACTATGATGAAGTCATTTTATATCTCCAAATGAATTCATCTTTAACATTGTTTAACAAAAGGATTAAAGCACTTTTTGTGGGTGGACAGTAAAACTAGCAATAAAATTCTTGTCTTTGTTAAATGTGTTAGGACACGTCACATTAGTTTTCTCATATAACATTCAGAAAGTATTGATTTTGAAAAGTAAAGTGATTTGTCCATATTTTGAAAAGGTAGCTTGGTATAAAGTTCAAATTTGATTTCAGTTCCAACACCAAACCCTGTATCCTTTTCAATAAATTTTACTACCTCTCATAGTAAACAAATTACCTAATATAATGACTTGTTTGGTTCATAGCAAGTACATAATAGTCACTTTTTATTGAATAGCATTTTGACTTTCTTTTCTCTGAACATTATAGGAATGCCCAATTCTTCTGGCCTTGTGAGCCGTCGTGATGCAATTTCAGATACAGATGCCACTGTGGTTGCATTGCTGAAGAAGGCTGGTGCCATTCCCCTTGGCATAACAAACTGTAGTGAGCTGTGCATGTGGTATGAATCAAGCAACAATCTCTATGGCCGCTCCAACAATCCTTATAACTTACAGCATATTGTAGGAGGAAGTTCTGGTAAGTTGGTCATTTTATTTAAGGAATCCATGTACCGGGCAGATACACTATTGCAAAACAGTTTGAGAAAACAATTGCCAAATCTTCATGGGACAGGAAGTTGAAGAAAAGATCACTGAGGAACCTTGTGGCAATCAACATTCATATTCTTATTTCCTCTATGTCTGTGTGTGTGTGTGTGAGTATGTGTATGTGTTGAGAAAAAAGGCAGAGAAGATATGAATTACTGTAAGTGGTTTATATTTAGGCCTATTCTTCCTGGAAACAAAGTTGTTAAAATAGTTTCAGAATAGGACTTCCAACAACTTTGGCCAGAAACAATGCTTTGCTGATGCAAGACTATGGAAGACGTGGTCATGGAAATCCTCTCTGAGAAAGTAATATTTATGTTGAAAGATGAAAGAGACTGTATCACTTATTATGAGCAGGAGTATGTGGGTTGGACAGCATTCTGGATAGAAGAAAAATTGTGCAAATGTCCAGAAGTGAAAACATGTTTAGTGTTTTCAGTGTAGTGAATGAAGATTGAGAGGAGCTACAGGTGAAATCAGAAAAGTTGTTTGATATCTCATTGTATACCAAATCAAAAGAAGTAGCAAATACAGAAGATGAAAGCCTATTTTAGTAGTGGAGGGTACAAATAACAGTGGCTCCAAGTAGTTCTTGTAAAGGTAGAAAAAGTAGATGAAATGCAAAAGATATTTTAGAGTTACAATTGAATATGGCATGTTGTTATGGTTTGTGTTTAGACACCCCCAAAAGCCTCATGCAGTCATAAGTTGGAATTTTCAGAGGTGGCTGGATCTAGAATATGTGATGCTGGGATTTATTCATGGTATAATGCTAAGATCAAGTGCAGTAGGATAAAGGATGTGAGTGCTGCCTTAATTAGCCTGGATAAGATGTAAGGAATAGAAAGAGCTGTGGTCATTCCCTGTAGCTTTGCTACCTTCTGCTTCCATGAACTGTTTCTCCTCTATGATGCCTGTCTGCCATGCCACCTTCCCTTGGGTCAGCCTATTATGGACTGAAATCTCTACAAACTGTGAGCTAAATAAACCTTTCCTTCTTTAACTTTGGGTTTTGGGAAAGTGATTACAACACATGTCATAGATTGTATAAGGAGCTATGGACATAGAAGTAAAAAAACAGTGAACAAAAGTTACTGCAGGCCTTATCACTTGTGGGATAGTGCAATGGTATATTCAGATTTTGGTAACTGAATGTGGGAAACGAAGGTGGACAGCATGATTTAGAAATAATATATGACTATGTTTTTAAAGATGTTTGTTAGATAGCTAATGAAAGTTTTAAGTGGTCTCTTGTATATATGTATAAGTCCGGGTAAAGAGCTGGGTAAATAATAAATATTTAAGAATTGTTTTCATAGGTATGGTATTGTATTTAATGTATACATCATAAGAATTGCAAAGTCTCAGGATGTATATATTGACTGAAAATGAACGGAGAACATGACAGAGTCATAGTCAATTCCAGCATTTCAAAGATGAACAGAGAAGGGAAATAAAAATGAGTTTCAGGTGATGTAGGAGAATATAATGCAATAGTAGTTGAGAGTAGAATTTATAAAACCAGCAGAGGCATATGTGGATTACTAAAACAACTTGTTTAAGATTGGCAGTGCTAAAGCAACACAGACTTTTAAAATTTCATTATTACATAAACTTATTCACAAAAGGTATATTCTCAGTGATTTATTTTCCTCAGCTTGTAAATGGCCATAATAAGAAAGCTAAATTGTAAAGCTATTTTGATGAGAAAATGTAAGCTTAACTTCAGGTTTTTATTCTAGTATGTGAGCAGCTTGAGGGTTATTTCCATTTACACAATACTGAAAACATCTGCACACACTGAAGGAAACCATCATTCTTAGAAACGAGAGAGTGCTAAGGTCACATGGACACAGAGGAAAGAAAACTTGAACTGTCACTGATAATTTACTGCAAGCTCAGTGTTATGCCTTGTAGCTAGACGTCTTTCTCAAAGCCTCATGCAATCTTAGGTGAAGTTTTTCCAGAGGTAGTTGGACCTACCTGGCTGGTGTGTGAATACAGATTAAGGATGTGTGATAACTAAATTAGTCCACTGATTGGTTTAGCATAGTTTTAGGTGTGGATAATGGGAAGGCCCTGAGTGTGGGTGGTGCCGATCACTAGTTCTATAGCCCAAGTGGAATAAAAAAAAGAAGATCCATTCAGCCAATTCACTGTTTCCTGCCTGTCCTGAGCATTTTCTCCGTGCCAGTGCCTTTGTACCATGCTACTCTGCCTAGCAGCCAGCCAAGTACGGGCTGAGACCACTACAAACTAGGAGCTAAAATAAAATTCCTTTAAAAAGTGCGTGTCAGGTATTTTGTCCCAACACCAAGAAACTCACAAAGAAACTCAGTGTGGACCAGGTATAAGATGAAATTTCCATGGTGATCTAGTTTTAGAGGTCCCCCATTTTCATGGCTTTTACCTGTAGAAGCTCTATGAAATTCTGACAGTGAAGATCTAGAGAAAATTCCATCAAACTTCTGGTACGGGAAGTAAAAAGTAGGCATTATGAAATATCTCACAATTATTCTGATCTTCCAATAAGGAATACACTCACAGAAACTACATCACAAGTGCTTAATTAGGGTTGTACCAGTGACTACTTGACATGTCCTTGGAAAAAGGAGATTCTTATCTCCAGATCCCTCTAGGTTCCTTTTCCCTCACAGAGGGAGGAAGGGAAAGAAATCTGAGAATCACAGGTTATGGTAAAAGGTGAGGGGGAGAGCATATATAAATATATGAGACCCATTCATAGAACTATAGAATGCTTGCTTATCATATCTTGACAGACTTTAATCTGTGACAGAAATAGGATCTTATGAAACAAATAAATAAATTGGGAAAATTATGCATCATAGGTATTATTCAAGAGGTTTTTATATCCACATAATTTTGAAAAAAGCTATACAAACTGAAAATAAAATATCATTCATTGATATATGAGAACAGTTAGGTCACAGGCCCACAAAAGCAAGAAAATCTAAACTGTGGTTGATTGAGGTTCAATATCAACAAATTTGGGAGTTAAATTTTCCATGCTGATAGAAATACTATATGGGAGACCCAACCAAGGGCATCATATGAAAACACTCTATTTTATGCCTACACTAACCAGCCAAATATAAACAAAATATCAAACTAATGGCTAATTTTCCTGTTTATTTTATTTAAAATATCGTATCATTTTTCAACAAAAAATTAGAAGTCATGTTATGACACAACACAGTTTGCAAAAACAGAACAAACATTAAAATCAGATTAAAATGTGACAGAAATCTTAAAATTAGCCTAGAAATTTAGAATAACTTTGATTAGCATAAAAATGAGTAATGTAAAGAAAGTGATGGGAACTCTAAGGATCAAGAAAATACTGGACATAAAAATGCCTTAAAAAATAAAGAAGACATTTGATGGCTTTATTTAGAAATTGCACAAAACTAAGGAAATTGTCACTCATATGGGAGAAATCTCAATAGAAACTTGCAGAACTAAAATTCAGAGAGAAAAAAAATAACAATTTCAGAAAAGAATATCTGAGAAGAGTGGCACTATAAAAGATTTCAGCATATACATAGTGAGAACACTAGGAAGAGATAAAAGAGAGAAAATCATGTAAGAAAAGGCTCAAATAATAATAATTATATAAAGACTTCAGGGAAGACGGTGAAGCCATGAGCAGTAGCAAAACAACCTCTCTGAGACTGGGAGTCCAGATACTGGAGTATAGAAACGTGCAGAAAAGAAGAAGGAGGAAGATGGAACTGTGAGACCGAGAAAAGTTCTGAAGGGTAAATTAAAGTCTATGCAGAGAGCAAGGCGACAGAACTCAAGACAGAAGAAAGAGGTGTCAAACTGCATTTTCTCACTGATTCCCAGCTTGTTGGCAAACTGTATTGTCACTCACACTCACAACATGAGAGAGAAGGTTTGAGTCTCAAGAGGTGCAGTGATGGTAGGAGACCCCAGAAACCTCAAAGGAGAAATGTACCCTGGAGTGAGCAATGGATACAATAGGCTGCAGCGCCTGGCTCCATTCCAGACATCCCAAGCAGAGGGTGATTAACAGAACACAATTTTGGCATGTGGCCAGCTGAACACAGGATTTGGAATAACCATCGGTTGTCTCCTTCTTAAGGCTATCAGTGTCTGGGGGGAGGAACAGCCCTGAAAGACCCCCAGGGATGGGGAGCCAATATCAAGCTGGCAAAACACCCATAGTGTTGACGGCTGAATAATTTGGGGCACAGGCTAAAAGCCAGAGACCAATATCAGCCTGGATTTCTGTGGAGCTGAACTGGCACTCCATGTTATTCCTATTGCAGGCTATTTGGTATCATCCAGCAACCCACCTAATCCTATTGCAGGCATGCTGGGAACATACTCTATGGGTCTGGGCTCTGCTTCCCTCCCTTGTCTACCAGGGAAGGCAGACACATACACTGAGGTAGATACCACTACAAAACTGGAGACCCCAGAGGATAACCTCAGGTTTAAATCACACACAAATTTCTTTCTTTTTTTTTATTTGCTTGCTTTTTTGGAGGTTGCTGTATTTTTTTGACTGCAGTTTTTCTTTCATGAGTGTCCATATTATTTTTAGTTTTTTGTTTTCTTTAGTTCTTGTTATCATTTCTTTCCTTTTTTTCCAATTTCTGACTTCTTTACCAGTCCATCCATAATGTGCTACGTACAAGAAACATGTGTAACTCAATAAGAAATTCATAGACTGAAAATCAAAGGGAGGAAAACAGTACTCCATGTGACATGAACCGATAAAAAAGCAGGAGTAGCTATTATATTTGCAGATAAGGTGGATTTAATGCCAAGACTGATCAAGAGAAACAAAGAAGTCACTATGTACTCATTAAAGGAACAATCCAAGAAGAAGTGATAACTATCAGAACTATATATGCATCAAATACCAGCACAACCAACTCT